CCTCCTCATCTGCAGCTTCCCTCAGAACAGCTACTACTGGTTCACCAGTAAATACCCTTTCCCTAGACTTAGGCAACCCAGGCCAACTTCTAGCCAGTTTCAAATTTCCATTCAATTGTTCCCCCCGCCCCCTGAGACAGGATTTCTCTGTAGTTTTGGAGCCTGTCCTGGAACTAGCTCTTGTAGACCAGGGTGGCCTTGAACTCACAGAAATCCGCCTGCCTCTGCCTCCCGAGTGCTGGGATTAAAGGCGTGCTCTACCACCTGGCTCATTCAATCGTTTTTAAAGTCTCTATTCCCTGTTTAAATTAGCCACAAGTCTTATGGGTGGAGGATAAATGGTCAAGTATAATTTATCTTTTCTGGAAATCATCAAGGCCAAGTGACAGAAAACACACCCTGTGCCCGGCGAGCCTTGAGCTGTGTCAAGATTTCACTGGAGAGTCGTCTCATGATGCCAGCTGTGGCCTCTCCCTTTTCTGGCAGGTGACAGTGATGGTGCCCTCCTCATCGTGGGAGGAAACTAGAGGATGAGGTGGGTGACTACTGACTTGCAGAGTGGGGACCCCAGTAAAATAAAAATACAGTGTTTGTGTATCTGTTCACTCAACATTTCCTGAATGCCTAGAGTATGCTGGGCGGGCTAGAAATACAAGCAGGGTCGGTCATAAGACTTAGGGAGGGGAAGAAACTGGGAGGAGACTTTGCTATGATTTCAATAAGAAGGGCTCGCATTAGAGGCTGGTCTTGAATGGTGGCACCATCTCAAGAGGCTCTGTAAAATGTAGGTGGCGCTTAGCTCGAGAATGCAGGTGTGGGTCCTTAGGGTCCCTGGCCCCGTCCTGTCTTTTCTCTTTGTTTCCTGTCCACCACGATGTGAACAGTGTTTTCCTGACGCCTGCTCCCACTGCCAGGATGGTCTACCCAAGTGCATGGAAACCAGCAGCCGTGGACCAGTTCTTAAGTCATGAGCCAAAAAGATCAATTTTCCTGGAAGTTACTTTTGTCCAATAGTCCTGTCGCGGTTATGCAAAATTAACAGGCTGATAAGACGAAGGGGAGCAGAGGGGACTTGCTTCCCTGGGGAAGGCACAGCTGCACAGAAATGGAGGATCAAGGGGGAATTAAGTGAAGGAAATAGAGATGGGGTTGTTTCAGATGAAAACCACAACATATCAAAGAAGCTGGTTGAGGTCGTGGCCACATCTCTGCCATTAGGAACACTAGCATCTGTCTGAAGCTCAGTTTCACTGCTTGTAGAATGCAGGCAGTAGCTAGAGACTCAAACTTAAATCCTTTTTTAAAAAGGATTTTTATTTCTTTTAATTATGTACATGCCTGTCTATGTGGACATGTTTACACATGAGTACACATGAGTGAGGCCAAAGGTGCCGGATTCCCTGGAGCTGGAACAGATAGTGAGCTACCTGACATGGGTGCTGGGAATTGAACTTGGGTCCTCTGGAAGAGCAGTACCAACTCTTAACCACTGAGTCATTTCTCCAAGCCCTGCCCGAAATTGTTTATGTACATACCAGCAAGGGATGAAGGTTCTAACCACTATATGTTTTTGCTAATACTTAAAAAACAAAACCAACTATCTTTTTGGCTATAGTTCATGTGTGTACAACATGTTTCCCTGTTGAACAAACAGGGCTTGTTTGTAACAAATTTCTCTTTCTTTTTTTTCTTCATCCCTTCCTTTCTCTCCCTCCATCCTTTCTTTCTTCCTTCTTTCCCTCCTTTCTTCTTTCTCTCTCTTTTTCTAAGAAATGTCTATCCAAATTCTTTACCTATTTTCTAAAGAAGTTTTTTTTGGACCTTTTATTACTGAATTGTAAAAGATCTTTGCCCACCCTGAACATGTTGATCTTATCAGAGCTATTGTTTGAATGTGTTTTCTTTCATTCTGTGGAGTTTTTGCATTCTTTGAACTCACTGGAGACACAAAATCTCTAATCCTGTATCTTGTAACCTGGATCAATTTTTCTCAGAAGCCTAATAGATTCTTATAAGTATCAGTTCCTTAGGACTTTGTTTTTGATAGGACCTTTCTTTGTGGCCCAGGTTGGCTTGCTTTAAACAAGTAAGATATTTGTGCCTGAATCATAAAGGTATTGTCTGTGGTTTTGTTTGCTCGCTTGTGACATCTTTACCTGTTTATGTAAAGTTAGCACATGCCTATAGAAAGAGATGGAAAATTCTCCCTTATTCTGTTTTTCCCTCCTTGCCGTCTTTCTGATAGAAACTCACTATGAAGCCTCAGCTTTCTCACTTGTAAACTGGAGATAATAAGAATCTTAGAGAGTTGCGGCACGGTGTGAGTTCATCTACGCAAAGCACATTAATGCTACTATTGAGAGGTCACTTTAATAAATGCCATTGGAGATTCTCCAAGAAAGAAGAGTTTGCAAACAAAGGAACCTGCTATATACGACATCCTTCTTAGAGACTCGCATGGTGCATAACAGAGTTATGTAAAGTCCTATGTAAAATTCTTAACATACATGTATACCAAACATATTTACCAAGATGACTCTTCCTCTTTTTTTACACGTAACACTCATCTCTTCCGCTTTCTGTTATTGCTGTTTCTGAGACAGGGTACTGCTATGTAGCCCCGCTTGATCTGAAACTCACAAAGTAGCTAAGGCGAGCCTTGAACTCACAGCAGTCCCGCTGCCTCAGCCTATCAAATGCTGACATGTTTATCCAACATCCTTTTGGAAATATACTATCAATTGTATTTAATTAACAAAGGAAATGCTATTAAATTGTTAAAAGCCATCATGGTTTAAATTTCACTTTCCCAGAGGCATGCTTAAATTAAAAACACCAGCCAAGGAGCCAGGAAGGCTCCTGAGCTACAGAAAGAGCAGGGTCCCTTGAAAGCCCCAAGGAAAGCCTTAGGTGTCCTGCGACTCCCTGTGCACTGCAAGTGAGCTTCACCTGCCTCTGCCTCTTGAGTGTCGGGATTAAAGGCGTGTGCTACACCACCCAGCTTCATTTCTAAATCTTCATGCAGTCAAGTATTACTGAAAGTAATTTTAGGAAGCCCTATTTTTCATGTTTTTCCACTTGTAAATGGGGCAGATGAGGAGAACTTCAACTGCACTGCACGGCATTCATATCGTCAGGCGGTGGTGGCGCACGCCTTTAATCCCAGGCACTGGGGAGGCAAGAGGCAGGCGGACCTCTGTGTGTTTGAGGCCAGCCTGGTCTACAGAGCAAGTTATAGGACAGCCAGGGCTACACAGAGAAACCCTGTCTCAAAAAAGGAAACAAAACAAAGTATGTTCTGTACCCAAAGTGGTACAGAACAAAAGTCAATAATAAGACCAGGGACATCACCTATGCAGTCATGGAGTTGCTTGACCTAATGTGGAATTTTCCATGATTTCTTAAAGCCTTCAGGAAAACCCTCAAGAGGTAAATGGAACACAGAACTTATGGGAAGAGAACGTGTAAGAGTTCAAAGCAGCTCTACAGGACACAAGGGACTGGCAAAGCTGCAACCGACTGCAGAAGAAAGTGTGTTTTCCAAGAACCCTCTGAGCAAAGGTGGGCTCTGAGGGCGCGACTTCATGAGCCTTGGTCCCTCTTTAGTAGTGTTGAGCTTCATTCTGCTACGAGGGGAAAAAGATCCGCATTCGTGTTTACAGCATGAGAAACGGAACTGAAATCGGGATTGGCCCCCACTGGATAACAGTCAGCATTACGGAGAGGCCCCCACCCCACTACAGCGGCCGGTGTATCAGGATTGGCCCCCACTGGATAACAGTCAGCATTACGGAGAGCCCCCCACCCCACTACAGTGGCCAGTGGATGAGGATTGGCCTGCACCAGATAACAGTCAGCACTATGGAGAAACCCCACTACAGTGGCCCGTTACCTACTGGTTGCTCTGCTTTCCTTCCACAGAGTTTTATCACTCTAAAGGGCTACAATTAAGTTGGCCATTTTCTTCTGTGGTAAGAACGGTGGAAAGCAAACACAGGCTTGTCAAGCAGAGTCAGAGCTGGTTAGAGCTAACATGTGCGGCCGGTGAACATTGTGCCAACTCAGTGGGTGTCACCTCTCAGAGGGTTTTGTATCACAATGGTATCCACTAGGATTTCCTTACTGTCATACACTCTAGGGGGCATTTTTGTCTTTGGCGTGTGTTAGGGAGTCGGGTGCCAGCACTCACTAACAAGCTGAAGAAAACCTGGCCCCTGAGTTCACAAGCCACCCTCGTAAGAAGCAAGCAAATCAACTATTTTCATAGAAAGTAATATATTCTTTGTTGAGTCAGGCTGGAGATGCTAATGAGTACAGCAAGGCTGAAGAAATCAGACGGGAGGGTTGGGGTGGCTTTTCCTAAGGGACGATTTCCAAGAGCAGTACCTGAGTTTAGTCATCCCTGACTCGCGCGCCTCACATCCCAGCACTAGGTGACAAAAGCCCCACCCCAACCCCCCAGGCTCTGGTTCTGAGATTCTTGATCAGATTTAGAGCCTGTGTCCTATAAGAGGGAGAAAGAAGTGGGAGAGAGGGAGAGGGAGTAAGTTGAAAGGAAAAAGATAAAGGAGGAAGAAGGGAAGGAAGGTTAAAGTTAAAGGTTCTGTGGAGAGAGCTCACCCCCAAAGCAGCTAGAGGTTTCCTGGGGTATAAGGGTGACCTCACTGAGCCTTGCCTCACACATGAGGTCTGGACTGTGGCTATCTTTTCTCTGCCATTAGGGTCATAGGAACTTGGTCATCAGTCAGAAGACCCTTTCTTGAGCCAAGCCAGTGAAGTGCCGTCCTCCACCATCAGTGAGGACAGAGAAACGCAGGCTCAACCCTTGTCAAGGTGACTTCTCCACCCAGCACACCGGGTGCCACCCTCACACCCAGGTGGGACACCTTTATGAAGCTGGCCCTGCCCTCCAAATCCCAAACCCACACTGACCCTCCAGGCATCTCTTTCCTCACCCCGGGACTCTGTCAGAGAGGCACAGGGAAAGGGAAAGTTATTACCTCAGATTGCTTTCCAGGGGCTCCTCATCTGAAGAGAAGGTCCCATTGCTGGCGCCCTGGGGAGCGTGCCTCTGCCTCTCAGCTGGTCCCTCCCCGGACAGCAGGGTGCTCTTCTTTTTCCTTTTGCCAAACAACTTCTTAAAAGGCTGGAACTTGCCTCCCTTCTTCTTGTCTGTGAATTACAAGACAAACACACAGCTGCAGTTGGATAGGGCTGTGCCTCTGAACCTAGGAACAAATTACCACTCAGCCACCCCTGGCCAAGAGAGCCAGGGCAAAGGGCAGCCATAGACAAAGCCCGCTGCTGAGAACGCCAGGGCCGCCCAGGCGCCAAAGTGCAGAGTGAGGCAGGGCATAAGCCACAGGCATGGTGCACCTTTTGACCCCCAGGCTTCTAGAAGATCAAGAAGAGGCTCCAAGCTGTAAGACCATTGAGACACCCCCCACACCACCCAAGGGTGGTGCCTCCTTTCTTTAACAAAGCTAATGGACAGGGTCATCCTCTGGGAGAAGCTGAGAACAGCATCCAAGCCACACAGGGATTTAAGAAGCATATAACATAAAACTTCAATCATTCTGTTCTAGCCTTGCCGCATACAGAAGATAATGGTTAACTCTTGGCACAAACTTTGCCCCATTGCCACCCATGACCATATAGTCCCAGTTTATCCCTCATGTCTCCTTTAAAATTCTCCTATGAAGAGACTCGAAGCAGCTGCCACAAACCTCTCCCCGTGTATCACTGCATCCAGTAGGGACCGAGGCTTTGCCCCTTCGGCTCTTCCCCTCTGTTCCTTTGAATACAAATTCCTTCGCCTCACTCCAGTTCAGCCATGGGACAGAAAGTGTAAACCCTGCTCTGCCAGAAAAGCCCAGTTCATCAGCTTTCCCTGAGAACCTTGGAGTCATTCTCGGGCTAGACTAGTGACCATCTTTAAAACTGTTTAGTGGGGCTGTGGTGGCGCATGCCTTTAATCCCAGCACTCAGGAGGCAGAGACAGGTGGATCTCTGTGAGTTTGAGGCCAGACTGGTCTACAGAGTGAGTTCTAGGACAGGTTTCAAAGCTACAGAGAAACCCTGTTTTGAAAAACCAAAAAAAAAAAAAAAAAAAAAAATCCAAGAAACCAAACCTGTTTCACTCTCATTCCCCTGCCACTGCTCGAGGACTCACTAGGAAGACTAGTCACCACAATGGCTCTGGGCTCTGTGGCATTAAGAGACATCATTAGTGTCCCTGTCTGTGCACGAGGGATCAGAGGCAGACAGGAACTAACTCGCGTGTGCTCCAGGGGACATATTCTTGAAGTGAGAGTGACGGTGTCTAAGGATACAGGACGACAGAAGATCACAGCATGTATTGAAAATCCCCACAGGAAACACACACACACACAAAAAGCGAACAAGAGTCCCAGAACACTGCGGCCACAGCCTCCTATAGCGGGACCTGGGTGTGACTGGCAGGTCAGGGATCTAACAAGCCAGCACTGCATTTTCCTGACGAGCCTCAGCTGTGGCCTTACTGAGACTTCATTAAAAACGGTGAACCTGAGTGTTCCTTGGAGTTCAAGATCACCCTGGACTATCTAGCGAGTTCCTAGATAGCCTGGCCAAAATGAAACTGAACTGAGTAAGGAGTGGTCAAACCCTTTCACCCCAGACTGTGAGATAAGATGCCAAGGAAGCAAACAGAGACGCTGACAGAGGCACAAACAGACCTCAACTTCAGTGGGACCCCAAGTGAGACCACACTTAAAGGACTCTACCCTATCAGAGGCTTGGTCCACAGTATACAGTAAGATGAGGAAATGCACAACACATTTAAGAACCTATTTTAAAGTGGTAAAGACAGTCAGGTGTGCTGGCACATTCCTTTACTCTCTGCATTTGCAGAGAGGAGGAAGAGCTAGGTGAATTTGAAGCCAGACTGATCTACACAGTGAGTTCCAGGCCAGCCAGGGCTACACAGTGAGAATCTGTCTCCAAAAAACACAAGATTAAAAAAAAAAAAGATATGAGGATCTGATTTCAGGCATTTGTATGTCTCCAGTGTGTCCAGGCGCGGATATGACGGTGATAATATTGACACCTGCTTCAGGAGGACATCGATGACGCCAGCGAATAGAAGGCTGAAGACGGGTAAGTGACAGCTGGGCTGGGCAGCGTCACAGTAAACAGTCAATAACTTGCAGCACATTCCATTACCCTCAAGGCATAATTCTTCCCTTCTCCTTTTATAAAGCTCCCTGTGTCTTCCCATCACACACACACACACACACACACACACACACACACACACACACACACAATTTCTAAGCTCAGATTTTTCTATTAGATATGCCCCTAGAGATAACATCTCAAATTAAAAGCACCAGTTAGGATCCCCTGCCTTCAGCATGGGCCCACAGTCTAGTTCTCCAGGCAGAGCAGAGAAGGGAAGATTATGCTTAGAATTTATAAATAAAGAACAATGAATATCATGCTACAGACTGGTCAAGGTGGATCTGGAGATGTTCAGGAGAGCTGGAACCAAGGGAGATCATTACAACAAGGAGGTAGCCAAAGCACAGTCTTTAGTCGTTGGACAAGTGATTGGCATGCGAAATCACCAAGTTAACTTAACCCCGTGTCAGCCAGAGGCCCTGGACATCATCTTATTCTCCTGAAAGCCACCAGGGAAAGTATTTGCTGTGCGGTGACACTGTTGAAGTGGTGACCAGAGCAGAGAATACAAACGCGAGGGCATAAACACGAGAGCCCGGAGAGGAAGCTGTGACACAGTGACCTTGACTCAGAGCCCGTGTGGGCTTCCCACAGCAGACGGACGATCCTGCAGGGCAGCCTGCCGAGGGAGGGCCGTGAAGCAGGTGCTCTTTTGATTTGGGCTCCACCTTAAGGACAAACCGCAGCTTATCAAGAGTACACGTGCAGGTGTCATGGAGGAAGACCTGCCAAAGCCCAAGTGTCAGTCGGGGCATATCTCGGGGACCCAGGAATGCCGAGGTAATCACAGTGGAGGGAGAGAGCAGTTACATGCAACCCCACTCCACACTGGACTGTAAGCCCTTCCTTCCGAGCAGGAGAAAGAAACACTTTAAACCCTAATAACACCAACTTCTCTTTAGAGGAGGACCCGGAACACGCTAGCTCATGCCTGCTTGGTGTCTGAGGACATCTTAGGTGGGAAAAGTAACTTCCTATCCTCATTTCCAAAATATATACTATGCTTCCTATCAGAAATATCTTCATATATTAAGTTTAGAAGTTCATCTTATGATGATTTTACTGTTAAATCTGTGAATATTCTAAGATTAATTTCTGAAAAGATTTAGCAATGACACTTAGGTTTATTCTCCATTTAGACAGTAAAACAATGTGACATTAATAGAGTATGAGTTCTTTTTAAAATTATTTTTTTACTTTTGAGAGTAAACTGTAATTCCATCACACCCCTACTTTCCTCCCTACAAGCCCACCCATATATCCATCCTTGCTCTCTTTCAAATTCGGCCTCTTTCTCATTAATTCTTATGACATACATATAGTATATGAATATACACATAAATATAGTCCGTATACTGTCACTTGTATGTATATTTTCAGGGTGAACCATTTGATATCGGATGACTCTTTCCTGGGGAACACTATTGCTTGCACAGAATTCCTTAGTTGCCTTTGGTTCTTTGTGTGGGGCCGAGGCTTGTGCTTTTCTCTGGCCTCATTAGCATGGCTATTGCTGTTGCCCTTGTTCAGCTCATCTTTAGGCAGTTACGATGGTGAGCTTCATGGGTACAGAGTAGAACCTCTTAAATCATAGCAGGAGTTATATATTCTTATTTATTTGATCCCCCAATTTGTATTCTCAAATATAAGACCTCCTCCCCCCCACCCCCAAGCTAGTTCTAAAATAGTTGCAATTCCCTGCCACAAGGACTATTTCTGTAAATCTGAATACGTGTCTAAAAACATCCACTAAAGAAACGTAGGGCTTCGGAGGTACATCAGAAGTTGGCTCCATAGCTCTAACTGCCTTAAGGGCACAGCCCCTGGTAGCCGTCATTTTCTTGGCAAAGGGCAATTGCTATTGTCAGTATTTTTTGTGGTACAGATGGGGCATGGAAGAGTGAAGCAGTCACAACAACGTGGCAGAACACAGCACAGTCCCACAGAGCCACCCTGAAACATCCCCAGCACACTGCCCTAAGAGCAGAGCTCAGCAGCCACTCTCCAACCCCGAAAGTTTGAGATGACACCACAAACCTAACTGTACTCGAGTAGATGGGACGATAGGACAAGAGGAAGGCAAACTGTGATCACTAATAACCTGTGTATTTACTGGCCACAGAGACAGGGTTTCTCTGAGTAACAGCTCTGACTGTCCTGGAACTTGCTTGGTAGACCAGGTTGGCCTCGAACTACCTTAGATCCGCCTGCCTCTGCCTCCCAAGTACTGGGATTAAAGGCGTGCGCCACCACCACCCAATTCTTAGTCCCATCTTTTAGTAGCATCTATTTCCAGCCTCTCTACATCTCACCATCTTTAGCTTTAAGATTGAATTCAAGGGTGAGGAGTGGGGTACCACATTTTCTTAATATTTCAACACTTTTCTATAATTTTCTTCTTGAAAAAACCTACAGACACATACATGCTGCTTCTTAACCACAGTGATCTTCAAAGTACTGAATTAAACTGATTTATTTTCATCGTACAATAATTACTTTCCATTTAAAAAATACTCATTATCCATCATTTCATGGACAAGATCAAATACCATCAGAGGCATGCACCTCATAATCACTAGTTTACAAAGATAATCCTAAAATTAAGGATCACCAGGAAAGCCAAGCAAATAGGAATCCTTTTCCATTTTTCATATGGATAAAGTTCTTTTATGTTCATTTCTAATCCTAAAATTATTAAAAGCATTTAACCTCATTGCCCTGAGCTCTAGGGTATGCTTCCAATTGAGAAACAAATGTCACAATTCAGTTTAAGTATTGTCATAAATGTGCTAATCTGAGCTTCTCAGAAGCTGATGCCAGGTTTGTAAGGCCAGAACATCTGAGAATCCAGGTAAAATAATATTCAAAGGCCTAATATGCTATCCCCATTGCTCTCCCAGAGTGGAGACTGTACAGTGCTTATTTGGAAGTTTGTCTTGAAGTCTGGTTTG